TTATCAGCTCTGGCTGAGCGTCGCCCAGGGCTAGAGTCGGGAAGCAGCGCAGGAATGTGTGTCCTTCCCTCTGAAGGTGAAGAGAGAGAAGAGGAAGAGGCCGAGCAACAGATAGAGTCGGCTTTAATAAACACACGCACACACACACACACACACACACACACACACACGTCGACCGCCAGCTGCTGCAGCCTGATACACTTCCAGACTCACTTCTGCCAGAATCACAGGCGTCGTGACACATGCTAACCCTCCGACTCCGGAGATTCCGCTGGTTTTCGCGTTCGTTCTTTATGCAGACGACTCACATCTCTACATCAACCAATCACACGGCTCTGTTATTCCACTATCACACAGTATTTGTGAGTAGGAAAAGTACACACCGATATTAACGGTGCGTTGGTTTGGACCAATCCTCTGATGCGAATACAGCGAGTATTTGAAGTTAGCAAAAACGTAGCCTGTGTTTAAATATTTACTCCAAAAGAAGCGACCGAATATCCAAAATATCTTTGAAGCTAACGCCACCTACTGTTCAAATAAATACGTCCTGGAGGTTAGCCATGAAGGTGGCTAAAGGACGAGAAGCTAACCAATCAGAAACAATTATTTCTAAAACAGGGAATCGACCAATTGGTGCGAGGAGTTCAAAATATAAAGAACAGCCGCATTCATCCTCCTCCTCCACCTCCTCCTCCACCTCCTCCTCCACCTCCTCTCAGCCCTAACTTCCTGCTATTGTCAGGAACAGAAACTCCGACAGTTCTTTTTTTTAGGTCCAGGCGTCAGGACGTATTTCTTCACGGTGTTCGACTTCACACCAGCTGTTCTTTCCCTTTTTTTTCCTTCTTTCCTTGAGTCCAGTCAGACTCACTGTCAGGGATTCCCAACCACTGGGTGGCAGCACATTAGTGTGCCATGAGAGCTCATCAGGCTAACTGCGGAAAATCCTCCAAATTTCACTTCGTAACTCTGAAAAGTATTTCTTTAAAAATTCCTCTAGGGCGCAGCATAGAGCCATACAGGCTAAAAAAAACGTAGAAGATTTTAGTGATCGTCTTTCTTCAATTCCTGTGACTATTCCACTGTGGTGTTCAACTAAACTGAAACTAACCTGTAATAACAGGTTAATTAAGGAACATGTTTACGACTAAATCTGTGTTTACCCTCGTTTTGGTGAAAATTAAACTGAAAAAGTTTTGTACTGTATACTGTTCTAAAATACTATTACAGTAGCCTTGTATTTAAATATGTATTTCTCATATTGTTTGGCATCTATAAAAAAACTCAATATCAAATACTCTTTCGTGTACTGTACAGTACAGTACTATACTATTTCATTTATTTTTCTAAAAGTCAATCTTTTTTATTTCTGCATCTACATGTAGGAAGAGCATTTCTCCAGCAGGGGGACTTTATGAAGACGAGATCATTTTTCTTTCAACCCCATTTCTTCCTTCATTATCGCTCTTTTCCACTGGGTGGAGCCAAATCCGCCTCCTCACCAGTCATCTATTCTCTGCATAAGTGGGTGAGCGTGTGTGTGTGTGTGTGTGTGTAGTGAATGAATGTGGGGTCAATTCATAAAACGTGCAGCTGTGTCTAGACAGGAAGTGGAGCGAATCCCGGTCATCGTTTGAACCTGTGACGTGCGGCAAAAAAACAAAACAAAAAAACAAAAAAAACAAAAACCAAACCCCAGCAGTTAAATGACCAGAGCTGAGGCTGAGGCTGAGGCTGAGGCTGAGGCTGAGGCTGAGGCTGAGCCTGGAGGTGTTCATGAAGGGAACGATACGAAAACAACGTCTTCATTCTGCACGTGCACGAACAAGATCGGTCGTGCACGTGCACGGACAGGGACGGCTGTGAAAGTAGGACAGGAAGTGTGTGAGGAGGAAAAGGGAAAGTTTCAGGGGTTTTTTTCTCCTTCAAAAAAAAAGAAAAAGAAAAGAAAAAGAAATGGTTTTAAATACAAATATGTGAGAAATAATTTTAAAATCCCAAACCACATTTACAGGGAAGTTTTTTGTAAAATGTAAAAATTCTGTAATTTGGTTTCATTCATAATTTACTGCAAAATTTAATTTGAAAATGAACTTAAATCTGTTTGTCAGATGTGAAAAAAAAATTTGATTTTTCTGCCAACATTAACTATGAACAGATGATTATAGGAGGAGGAGTTTCCTGTCTGCTCCTCCTGCTGCTCCTCCTTGTTTGACAGCCACCTGTGCTCCTCCACAGCTGACCTCCATCAGTGATCAGAGCTTTTAGAACAGACTGGGATTTTTTTTTGTTTGACAGCAGTGAATTTCTCTGCCGTCTGTGGGTTTTTGTGTTTTTTTTCTCGGTGAAGAAGTGACTGGGATCTGGTTTAGTTTCATTGTCTTTGAGGGAATTCATTTTGTTTGGAGTTTTTTTTTCCTAAATTCAACGTCCAGGTCACAGAAGTGTTTGAGTCTGAGGTTTAAATCTGCAGCTCTTCAACCTCAGGACAAAGACTTGAAGTTCAGGTCGGTCCATAAAGGACCAGCGTCTGAGTCTGAGCCGTGAACACACTGGGATGAAGGACATCAATCCTCCTCCTCCTCCTCCTCCTCCTCACTGCAGCACTCAGGAACCCTGTGTGGAGCTGAACTTTGTGCAGACATCTTTCTGCAGCCTTTATTACTGAGTGAGAAGAGGAGGGGTGGGGGGGGG